AGCCAAGCCATATCCTTTATTTTGCCCTCCACACAAATGTTCACCTCTTACTTTACTTCAAATGAACCCTTTCGGCGATACTTACTTTTCCCCCAACTATATAAAAGTGACAGCCTACAAAACACATGAAGAAGAAGAAGAATAGATAACAGATAAAAACTGGGAGGGAGAGAGTGGGCGACGAAAATAGAATGAAAGAATCAAAGAATGTATTACTACGATCTCGATTATACTCTAGTTTTTGTAGCAAAGTAGCAATGCAGTTAAAAAAGCGACTTTGTGGGTAATTATACGCAGTGCCTCCATTGTTGCGCCAGGTGTGCTGAATGGATGGCTTGCTATGACTGCTAACCGATGTCACACTCGTAACAAAACCCCAATTACTGACATCAAAGAGAGCGATTTTAAGGTCTTCTTCTTCACCCATCCATAAAAGGAGGAGAAATGGTCGAGAAACCCTGAGGAGGTTGTATGTTTTTAAAGGATATCTATCCCGTCTTCTTAGGGGCAGTTCAGAACATAACCTTAATATCTTGCAATCGTTCTTTTTCTTCTTCTTAATTGGTAAAGAAACTGAGAAAAGGACATTGCTTGACACTTGAGAATGCCAGGTACTATTTCCAATATATTGTATCATGAAATAAAAATGCTATCGAAACATGTTTTCTTTCGAAAAATTAACCTAAGGAAATGTTTATTTCCTTGTTCATCACCTTATGCAATTACATACATGTAGTTGCAACGGCATATTACGTAATCCGTACATGATGTCTACGGAGCATACAATAGGTTATTGAACTTGCCTTGATTTGGTTTTTTCGAAAGTAATTGCGATCGTGTTTAAAGCCCCACTGTACTACTTGTAGCTACTTGCTCCCTCTATATAGAAAACTTCCCCAATCGGTGCCTGTTGGTCCCCCATGATCTTCTTTTTCTTATGTTAGTTGAGAGCTGAGTTGATGAGAAAGCCACCTGTCAGTGACCTGGCTGGGTGGTCTAATCCCTTCTGGCCCGGTAGTATTGACGGTCTTTAAGAGAAAATTATAAACTTGTCTGCATTAAATCGTTTGCTTTCCTCCAGGTTCTTGCAGTATCCTCAAATCAAGTTATGAAAATAGTACCTTTCGTTGTATTCAAGTTGATAGATCGCAATTCCATCAAAATGAAAAGCATTACAAAAATATCCTCTAACAAATTTGTAATGTCGTTATTGTAAAGAAGCCTATCAAACATAAACATGATAAAACATGCCTCAAGAATAGCATTCGAGGCATATAGAGGTACAAACCCATCGGGCATTCAACCCATAGGTCATGCGTCACTTTTGACCAATCAACAAACAGGACCACCATTATAACAAAATGAAATCATCCATAAATTCATTTTCAACCTTGATCTTTTCCACGTTACAAAGCCATCCGTTTAAAGTAATTATGGTCACATTTTGTGGTTAAATTTGAGATGCAAATGGGACCTATTTTTTTCTTTACACCCAGGAAGCATTTCTCCAAGAAATCTGTGGTTTTATTTCATTCTTAAAACTTGTTTGCATCGCGATGATAGAATGAGATGACTTATAGCAACCCCTCTGAACCAGTCCTTGAGTATCAAGCTTGGCGGATAGACGATTGGGGGAGTCTTTAGAAAGGTGAGAAAGGATCGTCTGAGAACGACTGGATTAACACGTCTATGAATAGCCCTTCTGTTAACATGAATGCTGTAAAAATATGTGCTTAGGACAGAAATAATTATGTTGGGTTTTTATTGTGACTTGATTTGACGCTGAGGGTAATAAAACACATACGCGTTTCCGTCTAGTATCTTGTTTGGGCGAGAAAGTTTTTTTTTCAATAGATATTCCTTGGAAGTTGATGGGCAAAATATGTGATGGTCCAGTTACAGGTGTTTATAGAATGAATTTAGAATGAATCAAAGCTTAGCCTAGCAATTATGTTAAACGCATACGAATACTCTTTCTTTATAATCCCTGACTAATTTCAAAGATACCATTAACTGTGCTCATGATGCTCCATCCTCTTTAGCAAGGATCACCATCACTATTTTTTGTTCTTCAAAATTGGCAGTAAACAACTTTACAGTTATCATTTCCATACTCGTCTAGCCATCAATTATTGTGCCGGGATTTTTTTTCTTTCTTTGCATTTAGGTATTTTAAGGATTTATCTTTGATCAATGTCACCCCATTCAAAGCTGTTTTAGGATTATGTGAATTCGATTTTAGGTAAGGATATTATGATCATATAACAAGTAGAAAATTGATTACAATTATTTTCTTTCTCTATTGAAAAAGTGTGTGCATGAATAGCACATTTGTTTGACAACGTATTACAAGGACATTATTAAAATTATCAATTAGATAGATTTACATCAAAATTGAATTCTCATTATTGGAATAAGGTAAAAGTGCTCTGCAAGGTTTATTAACTTTAAAGATGAAAGAAAAAAGATAATAGCATAGCTTAGGTTCGATCACGGAGGGAGTGAGGCACAAGTTTGACTTGGGGGTAAATTACGATTTGACCGGTGTGTGTGTGTGTGCGTGCATATGCGTGTGTGTGCGTGTGTGTGCGTGTGCGTGCGTGCGTGGGTGTGCGTGTGTGTGTTGTGTATGTATTTGTTTCATCTCCCTGTCTACCTCTTTTTTGCATTCGAGGGGATGGGGAGGGGACACGCGCCCCCTGCTACTCGAAGCTACGTCATTGTTATGAACGATCAGGTATATAGCAAGGTTATCTAAGTGAGGAAAAATCAATCAAACTTAATCTTTATGTTCACAAAAAAAACGCACCCGATAGGGATCAATAGTTTGCTTTAAGATTTGTACAAACTATTTTTAGTATAGCAATTGTATCATTAAACACATCAGAGCGGAAAAGTGCTAAAACGTGCTTAATACAGATAAAAACGTTTTAAATGACTGAGTTGAAAAGGATATATTTAAAGATATTAAGTGCTGGGGATATTAGATGAAAATTACTCCCTCGTTTATGCTCATGAAGAGAAACTTTTGGTCGAGATAATTGACTTGCTTTACATGGTAGACTTAGACACAAGGGCACCATTGAATCTAGATATACATTTTATTGGATTCTATTTACCTGGCGAAACTTAACCATGTTAAAGGAAGATGAAAGCAGTCCAGAATGGAAACATTTCAAGATTTTTTTCTTTTTTAAGTGGAATACATTTAATGTCATTAGTACCAAAATAGGAATGCAAACTTTTGTTCTTCTTTTTTCAGTTGATAAAAAACACAGCTGTACAAGAAAATGTGCCGAATAATGATCATTTTTATCACTTCCGATACATTCAAATTAATGCGCCTCGGAATAGAATTTCTAGTGAGACGGCGCTATAGAAATGCATATAATTATCATTAATTAGTATTATTATTAATCTTCAAACATTTGAGACACAAAATACGTTCTTGTAAATGCAGTTGATTATATATTGTATAAGAGTGATTTGGTCTTTCAGTATGAGTCAAAACTGTGATCATGATCTTCAACTGCCCAGTATGCCTCCGGATGTCCAATGTATGATGGACGTCGAGTTATACGCTACGTCATAACTTTTCGTCCAATAGTCAATCAGGGCCGAAGCATTATCTTGGACAAGCTGATACGGGGCTTTTGATTGGCTATTCCATGACTGTCGCGATTTATGGTATACGCTGTTTCATAATGGCATAGCAATTAAGGAGATACAATATAAGTTATAACACGACTGTAGGTTGTATTTGTTCGATTCCTTCTGTATAAATGACAAGATAATCATGATAGTTTTGCCTTGTACAAACTACTTATTAACAATCATTAATCTTCCATTGAATTGGAATATTTATCATTTCAGATAGGGTCTTATCTCGAGAAATTATATATCTACATGAGTAAATAACTTTTATATTTGAATTGACTTTGGTTTTTTGTTACCTGAATCAGACTAATATGAATAATGACGATCATATTATGTGTGCATCATTATATTTCATGGATTTCTATGCACTGAAGGGATTTAGTGTCAACAAAAAGACATCTAAAGTTTGGAGTAAAGGTAAATTGTCACTGCTAGATATATGTGCTAGAAGAAGAATTATTTATTTGGGATTTTCTCTAGAGTATAATTATGTACTGCTGCGGAGATGATGCTTTGGAAAGATCACGAAATGTATTATTGTAATTTGTAAATGCTTTGTATAATGTACTTTTATTTTAATTTATGCAAATTTGTATGAAGAGCGTCATGAGCGCCAGTATACATGGCGGATACCGGCGCTATATAAATAGCTTTTAGTAGTAGCAGTAGTATTAACTGTCAGCTGTTGTTTTACTGTTATGAGTATTTAGTTAATCATACATCATTCTCTTTCATTTATAAACAATCTGCCTCTTCTCCAATAGAAAGGTCAGTATTGTACTTGCATTAACGCAAGATAACTATACATGAACGAATATTATGGTCGTGGTGCAACCCCTGCCTACAAAACAATTTTGATCAAAAGATAACTAATTTCCAATGGTAGGCCTATTGATGATTTGCTCGTTTTCAGTTCATGATGTCATAACAATTCTAGACTAAAACTGATAAATCAGCGAATTTTCGTTATGAAAATGAGCTCCAAACACAGAGGATAATTAACCCGAATCATACATTAGCTTCTGACTTGTTTTTGTTCGCCGCGGTATGCTCACTGCCGCCCGCGCAGCCGCCTGGCATCCGTACTGAGGGGAGAGCGAAACAGTCTCGATCAGCCAGTGCTGATGCACACCAACCCGCTAAAATGCTGACGACGAAAGCTCATTTTACGCACAGGTAATATTGCCAGGTAAAAAATCTCTCTTCGTGGCGTTCCCCATGACCCCGATCCCACCAATCGCCTGCCCGGTCGTGCGGTCTGCTAGGGAATGCGCTCAAGCAAGACCATACAACTAAAAGTGGGAGGAGCTCTCGTAAGATTTTTCGTGAGAGAGAAACAGAGAGGGAGAGAGGGGAAGAAAACACTTCTTTTCAAACAACAGACTCAGTCATTCTTCCTTTGTAAAGGTGTGTTCGAATCTTTTTTCCTTCCAATATTTTGAACTTTCATCCGATTTGCGGGGAGCGTGATGAAGTAGTATAGTGGGTAGCTGCAGTGGTTTTTAATAGAGAGCGGAACTGAGAATGCTTAGGCGCCCATAACGTTAGGGGACGCATCAAGTGTGTGGTTGCCATATACATCCCACCAGTACACCAGTCGAGAAGTTATCTGTGAACATCCTCTCTAGTTCATTCATAAGGAGCTTGGCTACCTTGTATTGGTCATCTGTTAAATAATTCTCTTCATTGTCTTCCAATCAGCAAACAAATTCAACATTCTCAACTCTACGGCTACTCATCGTTACCTTGCCCGTATCTTCAGCGACAGATATCTATCACCACTCCGCTCATCATACAGTCTCCGTTCGATACCCGTCGCATTCTTGACGCTCATCATTACGATATAAATTGGACTTTACACATCAGATCATCGCCTACGATCTCTCTCTTTGAGCGTAATCTAGTTCTCAAACTTGATGAGAGGGGATTTTGAAATTCATACTTTAGCCGGAGGTGCGGCGACATCATCGATCAAGGGAAAGATGAGCACCGTGAGCAAAACGACTACCACATCAAGTATGTATTACTCGCTATTTCCTAATTCTCTTCACGTTCATGTTGTTGTAATAAGTGATGAAAATGTATTTGTTGATAACACTTTTAGTTCTTACACATTGTATTCTTTTAAACCTGAAAATTTAAGTTGTTCCACTCAGCTTAAGGCTAGATCCTTACTGACAAGATCTTTTGCTATATTACTCATTCTTTTAAACAACAGGTTAGAAAAGGATAAATTAACAAAGATTGTTAGAGCTGATAGCATGACAATATAATAGTAAGAGGCACTCTTACACATTGGAATTAATGATCGTGTTTGTGAATATACGACATGAATTAAACTGCAAGATTAAATTAATATCACAATTTAAATCAACTTCCACTTCTGATCATTTTCATACTCCTCATAATATGCCTAACTAAGTAATACTAGTATTTTGCTGTTTATCAACCAAATATTTCAGTCATTCATTATACATTCAGTAGTTCTTTAAAAAAGTAAAACGGCGTTTTCTCTTCGGGGGTTCAACACCGAAAATGTTTATATTATACTATAGCAGCATTTCCTTTTTTTCTTCAGAAATTTTATTTTGCTCTAATTCTTTCCGCTTAGAGCTGATAGCAGGACAGTAAAAGCAACAGTACTGCCTCTCCCAACTGATATTTCACAGACTTTAATTGATAACAAAATTATGCGCTTTGAAAAAAATTGGTGATGGGCGGATCGGAACTATATAAGCAGACTGGTCGCTATAAGTTCCAAACCTGGATAAGAGAAGGAAACATGTATAAATTATTCCAAATAACATCATTTGTCTTGATTTCTTTTAGTTTCATATTTATTTCTAATGAAATTTATATATATTATTATAAGTCATCAGTTCAATTTAATTCACAAATGTTTTTTTTTATTATAGCACAATTATGGTTCATATAAATACAATTTTACATGAAAGACAGCCATGGCTGGAATATTCACACTCACGTATTAGGCATAAAAGATAAACATGTAAAAAAAACTAGCAATATACAAAATAGGACTTAGATTATGTAACTAAAGACCAAGCTACACTCAGCTACATGTTTCTCTTCATATTCGCCACGTTGAAATTGATTGGATTTATAACTGAGGTTGAGTGTTTGAAGGTTTTCAATAGTGCAATCAAACTGCTCCGTTTTTGTAAAAATTGCAAATGAAGTATTGATTGCTGTGGGAAAAAACCCTTCTACTTTTTGTTATACATGTACATGTATCTCTCAAGATACAAAAGTTTGTAGAGAGAGAGAAAGAGAGAGAGAGAGAAAGAGAACGAGAGAGAGAACGAGAGAAAATGAGAAACAAAAAGACAATTGCATATCATACTACTATCTTTGTAGCCTCTCATTGTGATCAGTAAGAAGAAAATGTCTGGCTGCATCCAAGGTACAAGATTTTCTGTTGAAACTGTGTTCCTCTCAAATTCACAAAATATCATTTGTTTGTGCACGATTTGACATTGATTTTTAGACTGTAGGAAAAGTAATTTCATTACAAGGAATAAAATGTATCTGTAATCTCAATCCCCGAGCGCTAGTTTCTATATAGAACCAAAATTTAATGTTGAATCTTGTTATTTAGTGTTCATTATAAATATGTAGGAAAACAATTTTTTAAAGGCGATATTTGAAGGTTTTTTTTAACGAAATATGTCTCTTCATTTTATAAACCCCTTTTATCATGTTTATCAATCAAATATGTCAAAAAATATCAGTTTTGTATATGAATAACCGTTTAATGCGAAGTTCACAATATTTTAGCACCGTGCATATTTCTTGATTTTGATTACCCAGGTATTCCTGAAGGAGGGAATAAGGATGAATACCTTGAGAATTGTAGGTGATAACATAAAAAGTTAGATATAAAAGAAGAACAAATTGTTGTATTGCATTGGCAAAATACATCTGGAAAGTGACATTTTTATCCTATTTCCAGTCACTGTTTTGTAAGCCTGAAGTAATTCAGCATCTCAAATTTCTTTTATTTCGTATACAATTTTCTTGCTCGTTGATTCTTGTTTTCTCTTTCCGTCTAATCAATATGATTTTAAAATTCCAACTGTTAGAACTCATACTGGTATCCTTCATTTAGAAAAAAAGGGTTACACATGTATATGTAAAGTGTGTGGGTTTTTTTTTTACCATGACGCTGTGGCGTGAGAATATCTCTATTTCGCAGTTGTCTATCAAATCTACCACCTACACTAATTTTTCTCTTATTGTGTTCTTATTTCTTCTGTTGTAGATTTCCCATTAACAAAGTCCAAATCAATGCAGCAAATTGTGTCTAAAAAGATCATATGAATATTGTATTACAATTAATAGTGTTCTTTGTTCTATATCATCTCGCTTTGTTGAGTGTAAGCCATATACATATTTTATAGTAATTTCGCTTAGACCATAATCATACTTCTTGAGCGCTCAACACATGCACATTTCAATTAGGCCCTGAGTTCACTGGGAATGCCAACTCAAAAGGGCTTGCCAACAGTATTATGTTTCCTTTAATTTGTCAAGCACCAGTCCTGCTTAAAAAGATTTTAACAAACTACAAGTCATCGCAAATCTAGATGTTGTCATCATTATAGCTAATTAAATTTATTGACATTCAATCTAAAAATGTTTTCCGAAATGGAGGAAAGACGACGACGATGATGATAATTAGGCATATCTAAAGTAATGCTTTTTCAATGTGTGTTTTCTTATAGTATTTCAAATGGCACATTATGTAGTTTTATTGTAAAATTATTGTAAACTATTTTGGTATGTTTTTGTATGGAATCCAACTTGTGGTTTCAATAAATAAATGAATAAATAGATAAGATCATCTGATGATAAAATAACGGAGAGTATAATCACAATGATTGTATCAGTTAAATGCTCTGAGATTTCGTATTTAGTGACATTGGACTCTATATAAACCAATAATTTACGTATTTAAAAAAGAAATATTTGTTTATAGTCCTTATTATAGAGGTAAAACAAAAGTGAGACAAACCTCAATAAATGGAATCAGAAACCAGGAGAAGTGAAGTGGGAGTGATGTTGAAGTACGGCATTTTTAGAAAGAACAGCCATGCATAGGTGAAACTAAAGAATACAAGAAGAATTAGTAAGAAACTACAAAATACTTGAGACACGCATCTAATCTTGAAATTAATTTCGCAATGTCATCTTAGGAAAGTTTATAAATTAAGTGATATGTATGGAAATGATAGGTCTTATAGCAAAAGTAAATAGCTACAAACTCATAATCGACCTCGATGATAATTATCTCACTTTAAACAATGCAAGATGTGGGCCTATGTTTAAATGGTGTATGCACCAGTGAAGTGGATATAGCTTTTACTTTCAAGGAAAGTATTGCCTCCCAATTGAATTGTTTCTTAAAGACAAGGTTTTCAAAGAAGTCATTGTATTACCCTTCCTGAAACTAAATATCCTATATATTAAGTAAAACTTTGAAGATTCAATGACATCTCAAGATTTCTCGCGTTACTAGAATTATTACTTGCTGCGTTTTGTGAGTAAGTTTACATGGTACTTGTTGATACTTGTTGATTTGATATTCAAATCTGAAAGTGAAATTGGTATTTTTGTTAAGATGAATGCAGAGCAAGACAGTTACTGTATACCATTTTGTCATCACGTGATGTATCTTGTGATCTATCATCTTGTTTCATATGTTACATCACATCTTTCTGATATTGCTTCCTGTATTACATTTCTCTTTCCCCTTTTCTGAGTCTCTGTTCATAAATGTGGTCCCTATTTTTTTCTTTTCTTTTTTGTTTTAACTTCCGGTTCCCTCTTCCCAAGCTAATAATCATTTGATTTAATCAAGTTGTTGATCCGAATATTTTTCGTCAATACATTTCACGGATCGATATACAATCTTAAACTCCCCATGACTTTTATCCTATTATTTTTTATTTCAACGTCTCCCGACCCTCGTTTTCTTCATGCAAGACATTTACAAGGCCCTGCAGCTCGAGTCGGTGGAAACCATGATGTACAGGGCGTTACGGCACGGCGCCACGCGTTGCATCCATAACAAAATCATACTTTTACTTGCTTTGGCAGGTCGTTACACGCTTCGCAGCAAGCGGCTTTTCCCCCTCTAAAGTTTCCGCAAGCTAAAAAGCCAAGATATTTCCTTTATACTGCTTCATTTAATCTCGTTAGACTTGCACTCCATTTAGCTAAACCGCTACTGTTGTCTTATAATCCGGGTCGTCTTAATGAAGAAGGTTCCGTCGGTTTTCTAAGCCTCTAATTACGTCTCTTTTCAGGAAGGGGTTCATATTGTGTTTAAAGACTGGCTTCTCTTCTTTCTTTGCCGAAGTCTTTTCAGAGTCCATTAACTTCTAAAAGCCCGCTCCTCCTTAAAACTTTATAAAAGGATACACGCAACAGAAAGGCTTCTGGAATTTGCCGAAGACTGATTGTAATGCCTTGTCTTTTGACCCCCATCATCTTGTAATTATACCAGAGAGTCGAATTAGATTCGAATACATCCCTTCGGAACTGGAATCATTGTCATGGCTGGTTCCCCTGGTCAATCGTTAAGTCATTAGGCTTAAAGGTATTCATTTAACGAGGTGAAAATAGGTTCTCTTTGAAACAGGCCTGCTTGTTACCTCCCCATCATTATCCAGTTGCGTGCTTACAGATCGATGAAACTCGTTTGGAATCTATGCAAGCTGGGCGGTGGTGGAGTGTGTGTGGGGGGATAGGGGTGGGGGGGGGGGTGGGCCCAAGTTGGGTCCAAGTTGAGGGTTAGTTGCAAATGGATGGATGGTTTTAACATTCTAAATGCACTTTTCATTTTTAATTAACTCATCCCATTTCATAATCAACATAGATAGTGTTACAATATGTCACATACCATATAAATCAAAACGTTTTATAAATAATATTTTACATTTCCGGATATCACCCCCCCCCCCAGAACGACACACTCACTGCACCCCTCCACCACC